ACACACGGCTTTAAGGATGGAGATGTGCAATAGATTTAAATGGTGACGTACAAGTATTCCCTCCCCGCCCTCTTTTGCTGAACAAAGCTGTGCAGAACTACTGGTTTTCAGAGGGCTTCCAACTGTGACTCCATTTTACATGTGGAGTTGCTTTTTCCCATGTTTTTCCCATGTTCTCCATATTATGCAGTGGTGAAAAAATGCATTTTCATCAGCTGTTTTTGCCCCTGGTCACTGAGCTCGGTAAAATCTGCAAGTTTGAACAGTGAGATTTATGCTGGAGTGTTCTGCTTTAATTATTTTGCTTTCTTTATCCTTAAAAATAGTCACTTTACTCTTCACCTCCTTCTTTTCCAAGTGACAGCAGGAATTCTTTCTGGGGACTAATGATACCGTACAGGTTATATATTGAAGTTGTGAGGTTGTACTTTACCTTCCAGAAAGCTCAGAATCCAGTTAGAGAAATGAGTTAACTGTTTTAGTAGGCAATACAGTTACATTGCATGGACTGAAGTTCTGCAGTGAAGTAGGAAGAGCTGACTGAGGATGAGGCAGAATTTGTCTGCCTTACAGAACTTTACTGAACTGTGTCAGGGATCACAGAGGAGAAAAACTCTTGGTTTTGAACGAGCTTGGGACTAAAACTACTGCTGTTGAAAACATCTGAAACAGTGATCACAGACACTTTGGTTCAAAGCCTTGTAGGAGGTGGGGGAAAAAGCCAAATTCACTATGGTAGTGTTTTATCTCCAAAAAGAACTACACATAGAGGGAGACGTGATTAAAAGGCAATTAAAAAGAACACTTTGGGATTTTGTTCTTAAGAAACTTCATAGCATCATTTAAGTTGGAAAAGACCTAGGAGATCATCAAGTCCTTCTGTTTCAAGGCAGTAAGAAGAATAAATAACACTCATTAAAACAGAAAATGAAGGGAAGGCAGTGAGGACTCAGGACAGCAGAGAAAGCTATTTTTAGATAAGAGAATATTTTTTTAAAAGGTATCATAATGTGCAAGTATTCAATGCCCAAAATGTTATAAGGGAGGCCAAAAATAATTCTGCAAAAACGTTCAAGACGTGAAAACCAATTATGAGTCTTTTTTTCAAATCCTTTGGAAGCAGGAACTGTTCCAGAGAGTTGACAGCCAGTGGAAAAGCGAGGTAGGAAAGAAAGGTGGAGTCTGAGAGGAGGAGGCCCAGCAGAAAATCCAAAGAGAGTCTGTGCATCCTCGTTACCTGCGGAACAGCTCCGGAAGGATGTTCACAGGGAACCTTGCAGGGAACATGTGTGAGACTGAAGTGTTAATTAAAGGTGTTCTAGAGGAAGCAGATACAATGGCTGGTACGGTGTCACTAAAATTGAATTGTTTTTTTGGCTCTCTGTGGATTGGTTTCATTAATGTTTGGTCTCACGCTTGTTCTCTGTGCCTCAGATACAACAACTCCCCTAAGGGTCAGGTTTCATAGCACAGAGAGCACTGATTAGTTTTATCCTGTGTCATTCCTGGATTGACATTGTCTTTTTTTTTTTTTTTTTGCCAAGTTTTATGAATGCCTAATGTATTACTTTGTTTCAAAAGATATATAAGATAAGGTGCCAGTTTCACCTTGTGTTTTGTTTGGTTATTTGGTTTTTTGTTTAAATCCTTTTATTTTCCATCATAATCCTCTACAAGAACTCTTTGTATTCCATTGAGGTGCCTGTAATAGTTTATTTACCTGATGGCCTGAAAAGTTTCATTGCCATTTTCCAGTTTATCTGGGTTCCTTTGATTTCTTAATCTTCACAGAGATTATTTTTTCAGAGACACTGATCAAAGATTCACTATCAAGATGGAAACTGTTTATGAAAAGTTCCTCTGTGGAGAAATTAATCTGACATTGGTTAAATTGCTTTTTTTGAAGGACTGGCACTTCATTGTCACCTGTTTACTTCTTGCATTCCCTTTAACCTGCAAATACCAGTCATTTGTTAATTAATCCCATCAGAGTTTGCAGGGTTTTTGTATTTATGGAGGAATTGACTTCATGTTTTAATGTGAGTAAAACAGAAAATGCATTTTAAGTCTTTCTGTATTTCTTTCTCCTCAACTGAGGGGATTTTTAGCTCCAGTAAGACTCATCTTGTAAAACTGGAGAGATGTTTTGAAGACTGAAAAACAGATTAGATAAGTTGGCTTCCTCTGTGGTCGGGGCACACAGTGATGGTAATTGCTTGGACAGGTTGCAAACAATTCAAAATACAACTCTGCAGTTACTGTGCCTTTTTGTCCTGGATTTGCTCTTCAATATCTCCATATCTATATATTTTTTTTCTTGGGTTGGTATTACTCCCTTCTGTATTGCTTCTCCAGATTCTTCTCAGATCCATTAGTGGTGATACCAGTTTCCTTTTGAGAACTGCACCATAGCATCAATGAAAAAATGCTTTTAACTCTAAAATGTCCTTTCAATGAACCTCATGTAATTTAGTTGGATTTTTTTTTTTTTTATTTTCATAATAATTTTGAAACAGCCACTTACTGAACTTGGTGCAGAACCAAAAGCATCTCAGATCTCTGTCATCTGACCATATGGATGGTGGCTGTTACTTTCCCAGATGAATGAATTTTGAGGATTCTCAGTGGAACTGTACAGCCTGTATCCGTGTGTGTCTCCTGGTTCAAAAAGTACAGTTGTAGAGTGATGGATATTTTAAGGATCAAGCACTGTTCCTCAGACCTCTTTATGTAAGAGACACAGAAAAATCACACATTTAAATGCTACTTCTCTTACTGGCATATGGATTTTTCCGAATTTTAGGGGTCAGCCAGGTTTTTTTCCCCCTGTGGAGTTGAGACAAAACCAAGCAAGTTGAGCGACTTCCGTGTGTTTGTCTCATACCCTGTTGCTCTCTCCTTCCCAAGAGCAGAGATTTATATCTGGAAAGCCAAATATTTTCCCTCTACCATTTCCTAGTGTGCTTTCCCAAGACAAGTGCTGTCCTGCTTCTGGTACAAATGGATACAATCGGGGCAGTTTCTAATCCAGATTTCTTTGAAGTCCATGGGTGTCCTGAGCATCCTCTTCCAGGCTCAGCAGAGGGGATGTTTGAACAGCTTTCTGAGCGTACCAGACTTCCCATCAACTCTACAAAGTTGCTGTACTTTCCTCAGCTCTTTAAAATTCATGTGCTCCCAGCTCCTTAATGACTGTTTTTTCTCTGCTCTCCCTGTGTTTGTGGTTCTTTCACCTTCAGTCAATAATAGGAAATCCTGTGCCTGTAGTACCCAGATGTCAGTTATTATGCTAAAGTCTTCCTTCAAATGAGTTGTTTTCAAAGGAGAAGAAAATGATTCTTTATAAATATATTTAACAAAATCACACTGCTCATTGAGTTTTTGCAGGTTTGCCTGGGGGTGGGAATAAAAAGATGATCAGTTTAAGCATGGCATCACTTCTTTTTTCAGCATTACTGTAAAAAGCGTATTAAGGTTTTCATTACAGTCTTTCCATTTTCAGAGGTTTATATCACCTGCTAATTTACTCATTATATTAGAACATTATATGGAAGGTCCATGTTGAACTAATCAAATTTCATTTGCAGAAAAATCCTTCCCAAACAGCCTCTCTGCCTGCTCAGGAAGGCAGGGGGGTTGCAAAAATTGTGCTAAGATTTCCAGACCCTTTTGTTCAGAGGGAAGGAAATGCCAGTTTGGGTTCTCCATATCATGATTCAAGAGCTCCCTTGTCTTCTGTTCCCGTGTTTCGTCCCATCCCACGTCTTTTGCCATATGAGAAGATGATCAGGGAGCCGGAGCCCCTCTGCTGTGGAGACAGTCTGGGAAAGTTAGGAGTGTTCAGTGTGGAGAAGAAAAGGCTCTGGGAAGCCCCTTCCAGTGCCTAAAAGGTCTCCAAGAGAGCTGGAGAGACACTTTGGACAAGGGCCTGGAGTGACAGGACAAGGGAGAATGGCTTCACACTGCCAGAGGGAAGGGTTAGATGGGATATTGGGAAGAAATTCTTCCCTGTGAGGGCATTGATGCCCTGGCACAGGTTGCCCAGAGAAGCTGTAGCTGCCCCATCCCTGGAAGTGTCCAAGGCCAGGTTGGACGGGGCTTTGGGCAACCTGGGCTAGTGGAAGGTGTCCCTGCCCATGGCAGGGAGTTGGAACTGGATGATCTTTAAGGTCCCTTCCAATCCAAACCAGTCTGTGATTCTGTGAACATTATGTCAGCACTTCCAGATTGAATTTCTATTAAAAAAAAAAAAAGATAATTGGGAAACAAGAGAACAACCTTGTTGTTGTCATGCACACGGGGGTAGTGATGGTTTTGATGATAGTTTTTAGGGTTCTTTGAAGGGGAAGGGGAAGCTGGGTTTCATATATTTTAGTACCTTTGATTTTGAATCTTGGGCAAAGATCCCACTCTGTTTGTGCCAAGTGCTGTGTAAATACCTGGCAAAACCAAACTCAGCCTCTCTGTTCCAAATGAAAGCTGGATTTAGACAGATGGAGAATACAAACACAGGCTGAGTGAGAATCAGTCACCAAAGTAAGGCTTGGAGACAACAATCCATTCCAGTCCCAACCACTTGAGTTTCCTCACATGGTGCAGCCAGAGGAGGTTGAATGAAAGCAACCAGGAACCAGATCTTTGCAAGAGTTTCCTTGCAGGTGTCCAGTGCAGCTTTCGAGAAAGTGCAACATTACCTGTGTAACAATTTAGTCAGCTGCTTTATGGGATGCTTAAAGCTGAAGTCAATGTCCTGTTGCAAAAAGCTTATTTTCAGTAATTCTTTAGCTCCAGGGCTCAGTCAAGCAGCTGCTGTTGTTTCTCACTCTGCCAGCTCCTGAGCTGTGCTCTATTATTTGTGCACAGCTGATCTATTCTAAATTAACTTTCATTTTAAAAATACTTATTTCAAAACTGGTTTTTTTTTCTTTTTGTTTCATCGGTTCATTGTGCACCTGAACAAGCACTTGTGCGAGCAGAACTCGGAGCAGAGCACGGGGATGGGAAGAAGGGGTGAGGAACAGGTGGGTGCTGCTGAAACCATCGGTGCTGCAGGAGGAAAGGCTCATTAAACTGCAGCCCAGTAGGTGTGTGAGTGAAGTTTTGAAAGGCTTTCAAAGTGAAGGTGAGCAGTGTGATGCAGAGAGGTGATTTAGTTAGTGGAAGAAGTTTGAGAAAGCACTGACTTCACAAAAACCTGAAGTATCTTTGTGATAGTTTTCTGAGTGCGTGTGATGGAATGAGATTGCTGCTAGCAGAGAGTACAGACAGCGAGGAACAGGAGGATAACATCAAGAAGAGGAGGGGAGGAAGTATAGCTTTGGGCATATGGATGAATCAGAATGTCATAAGAGTCATATCTGGAAGATATAGGTGTAGGTTGGATTGGACAACAAAAGAGGAAACTCAAAAATAGCACCTGTATAATAGGAGAGAGAGAGAATAATTTCATTTGGACTGTGGGTGTGATTATCCAGGCACAAGGTGGAGAAGCCACGTGACTTCCTTCTGTACCTCTCGAGTTTCTTGGTAACAGAAATGCTCTCAAATCTTGAGTATCCAGCCTGAATGCAGCATGGCAGTTCTGTGGCTTTTCATATGACCTTTCAAACCTTTCAGTCATTCCTTTCCACTCTCTTTAGAAGTAGCTTGGTTTCCTTTCTTGATACTTTTTCTTTTTTTTTTTCCTTTTTTTTTGTATTGCAGCAGTTTTCCTGAATGATCCGAATTTACCAAATAACTCACATTTTGTGGCTGAACTATTTTCAGTGTTCTCTTTATCTTTGTGGTATTTGCAGTTTTTATCTCTTTACCTGTTATAACTTTCCCTTTTTTTTTTTTTTAATTTTTTATTCTTCCTTCTGTAGAAAATGTAAGATACCTGGGAAATACTTTATTTCAGGTAATGGATTGCCAGTGTAAACAGGCTGAAAAACTTTCCTTTTGCCTGAGAAATCTTAGCAACATCTAAACTGATTCTCCTGTGGCAGGTAGATAATTGATTGTGGCAGGAAGACGTTTGTTCTGGAAAAGACTTGTAGCAGGTAGTTAAAGCATTTGATTTGATCAATACTCCTTAGCCCTGGTGAAAGAAAGGTAAAGCAGGAAAACATCCTTTTGAGGGGTTATTTTGGTCACCTGCATGTTGATGTCTTTGCCAGTAGTTCCACATAAAACTCGGGTGTGCAGATATTCTTAAATCTTAAATCTTCTGGTTCTGTAGCAGTGAACATTTATTGCATTGGGAGGGGCAAAGTTTACATGAATATACTCTATATTGATACTTTGGAACAAGTGAAAATTTCGTTACTTGACAGTTTTCTAGAAGTTACCTGCAAGGCTAAGCATGCTTTCTGCAGGAAGGCTGAAGTCATAATTAAGTCAACATTTGAATGGAGATGTAACCGATAATTTCAATAATTTAGGTCAGTTGTTTATTGCTGAATTCATGGTGTTAGTCAAAAGCTGGAGAAAAATATGAATCATCGTCAGATGTATTAGTTTTTGCCCTCATGCATGCTTTTGAAGGACCTCTAAATTATACATGTAAGTTGGCACAGAAAATCATCAGGTGGAACATATTACATTAATTTTTGATATTAACCCCCTCCAGCCCCACCCACTAAATCTGGGATGACCTAAGTATAATTTTGTGGAAGATTTCATACAGAACATGCTTGTGTGATGGGAACTTAGGTTCATTGAAGAAATTTGTCAGAGTTAAAAGAATTTAAATGTTAAGGATGAAAATGCCTCTGTAGTCAAATTTGCTTTTTAGAAAAATGATTGGATTTTAGAACCATTATACAAATTAGCAAGTTTACAAATTAGCAAGTTTAAGAAAGTTAATTTTCCATTTCTAGGGTAATATAAGTATAGTCAAGCTCTTCCATGGTGAAATTGTGGTATTAAAAACTATTCTCAAATACCTTTAAAGTCAGCAGAGCGTGCTCATGATTTTCAGAAAATAAGCAAATAAACCACAGAGACCATTTGTGTAATATTGCTGTAAACGTCTTTCATTGTAAAAAAAATAAATATTTATTGGGTTGAAAAGAACTCCTGATTTGCCTAAATGCTGAATTTCCCGTCGGTACAGCAAACTTCTTTATGTGACATGAAGATCTTAAATGATTAAGAAGTCTCATCTGGGACCTGCAAAGGCAAAGCTGGAATAAAAAGACAGTTGCTGTTAGAGACAGAAGGATTTCTTGTTTTCCTTCATAGAATCATAGAACTGTTAAGGTTGGAAAAAACCTCCAAGATCACTGAGCCCAACTGTGGATTTGATGGCAAATTTAACTGTGGGGTTGGCAAAGGAAAATCCCGGGCCTATTATTAGGTACAAGAAATAATTGTATCAGATGTATTAAATATTTTAATTTGGAATTGGAAAAAAAAGTGGTGATTTCATTTTTTTTCCCCCTCCTTCTAATTATAATAGATCCCTCTAAGCATTTAGAGTAATAGCATTTAATGTAGCCAGGAATTCAAACCAGCAAGTTCATTAGATAAGTTCCAGTTCAGTGGCATCTGAAATTTAGTCCCATTTCTTCCTCCACCAGTTTTGTTCTGACTCAGGTTAATAACAGTTTGTTAATTTGCACACACCAGAAAGTGTAAAATTAAAAAATTGGGACTTGCAATGTGCAGTTCACCTGTTTAGTCTCTGTATTTTGCTCCCATAATTCGGGCACCCTGTCCAGGGTCCCTCTCCAGCTCCCTTGGAGCTGCTTTAGGCCCTGGAAGGGGGTCTAAGGTCTCCCTGAAACCTTCTCTTCTCCAGGCTGAACAACTCCAAATTTCCCAGCCTGTCTTCAGAGCAGAGGGGTAGTTCTGCTGCAAGAAAAACAAATGGCTTCCGAAGTTTTTTTTGGTTGGATTTTTTTTTTGGTTGGGGTTAAGTTTTTGGGCTATAGCCATTTTTTTAACCTTTAGGTTTTTTAGTTGTGTTAAATTTTGTTATTTGACTGTGGATATGAAGCTGATGTTCTTGGAAAATGTAGATCAGAAATCTGCAAGTGATATCGCAAATTCATTTTTCTAAGAGAAATGGATGATAATCACACTTTTTTTTTTTAAGTGATATCACCATTTCTGTCTAAAACAGAGAAAAATATGTATTTTCATAAGACAGCTTTTCTGAGTAATTTGCTTAATCTGCTCCTTTTTTGGTGTGTGTATAATTATTATCATATGATTGCCAGCATTATTTAATTTCTGTAATTATCAGTGTTAAAATTAAAAGCCTTGCTTTTCTGTCAGGCATTTTAACCAATTTCTCCTCTGACAGATTTCCCTTTCTCCCTTTAGTCTCTTGATTGAAAAGATTGGCAGATCTGTAGTGAGTTTGTAGATGCATAGTGATTTTCATATATTAAGGAAAAAAAAATAATCATCACTCTTTCAGTTCTGATTATTCCTGTATTATTCCAGAGTTTCAGAAAGGGAATATTGGGCAGAGTGTCCATGGTTTATGTTACTGTTTGCCATATGGTGGGTTTAGATACTCTGGAGTGCAGCCTGGCACTGCAGGAGAACCTGCTCCAGAAATCCATGCTCTCTTCCAACACGCATTTTTTTTAATGGGGATTTGTCATTTCTGCTGTGTATAAATGTAGATGTTTTATTATGAGGTGTTTTTTTTTTTTTTTTAAACTGGGAGGTGTGAAAAATGGGGGTTTGGAGAAATCAAATGTACCTCCTTGTTTATTAAGAGGTGCTGAGTTGACCATCCCTATTCCCATAAGTGAAGGTGCTTAGGTAAGGGGAGTTGGTTGGAGAATCTTTCTTGGAATCAAAAGTTACATTTGTACCCACGTTTGTACCTCGTGTCCAGCTCAGTTTTCAGATCCCAGATATGATTTCCTCCCCTAAAATGAATCTACTGGCCTGTGAAAAGCTTCCCAAAGAGCATCTTCCTCAGCATTTTTGGACGTACGGATTTTTCTCCTTCCGCCTTTGGAGTTATTGAATCTCTCGCTATCGAAATTTAGATTGATAGGTCCCTTTCTCCTTTCCCCAGGTTCTGCTTTAGGAATTCTCTGAATCATTCCTGTTAAAATCTGTCTCTTCCTCGCTCTCTGAGGCAGCAGGAGCAGGGCAGGGACCGTCCCCCTGCAATGGGCACTGAGGAGGCCTCACCTCGAGTGCTGTGTCCAGTTCTGGGCCCCTCAGTTTTGGGAGGGTATTTTGGTGCTGGAGCATATCCAGGGAAGAGAATGGAGCTGGGGAAGGGTCTGGAGCAGCAGGAGTAGATGAGGGAGCTGGGGGGGCTCAGCCTGGAGAAAAGGAGGCTCAGGGGGGACCTTCTGGCTCTGCAACCCCCTGACAGGAGGGGGGAGCCGGGGGGGAGTTGGGCTCTGCTCCCAGGGAACAAGGGACAGGAGGAGAGGGAACAGCCTCAGATTGTGCCAGGGGAGGTTTAGGTTGGATATTGGGAAAATTTCTTCACATGTCAGGCATTGGAAGGGGCTGCCCGGGGCAGTGTTGGAGTCTCCATCCCTGGAGGGATTTAAAATCCCTGTGGATGTGGCACTTGGGGACATGGGTCAGTGGTGGCCTTGGCAGTGCTGGGGGAATGGTTGGACTTGATGATCTTAGAGTACTTTTCCAACCCAAATGATTCTGTGATTCCATGATTTTCTCTGCCACAACAAGGGCTGCAGGCAGCCGGGGGGGAGTCGGGCTCTGTTCCCAGGGAACAAGGGACTGAACAAGAGGAAACGGCCCCAAGCTGCACCAGGGGAGGTTCAGGTTGGACATCAGGAAAAATTTCTTCACTGAAATGGTTGTTAAGGATTGGAAGGGGCTGCCCAGGGAGGTGTTGGAGTCCCCATCCTTGGAGGTGTTCAAGGAATGGCTGAATGTGGCTCTCAATGCCCTTGTCTTGTTGACAAGTTGGGAATTGCTCACGGGTTGGACGCCATGGTCTTGGAAATCTTTTGCAACCTAAATTATTCTGTGATTCTAATGCAAACCAACCACAATCCACACGAGGCAAAGTGCTGCTGTCACTCTGAGT